CCGCGGAGCATCTGTCACCTATGTTGGTTCAGCAGACGCCGAGTGGGACCGTTACAGGAGGCTCAAGGTGCTTGTGATAGGTGAGCAAGTCTGTCATACAAGGATGACAACGGAATGAATTTGTCACATGAGTTTTTAAAACGGGTCAGATGCGCTGTATATTTAAACTACATTTTTAAATTCCAGTCTTCACAATAAGCTAATCGCATTTTTCACAATTGCAATTTGATTTGAAAATGATTAATCATTCAACCCAATCATGCAACCTGTCACCTTGGTTGTAATATTTTTATTCCACTCAGAGTATATATTTTTTGAATAATGAAGATTTATATTTTTAATAGGGCTGAGCAAGTTAACGTGTTATTATCGCAGTAACGCATAAATTAATTAATGCCTACAATTATTTTATCTCACATTAACGCAGTTTTTCTCACTGGCTCTGAATACACATGGACACAGGAGGTGTGGGATGTTGATCAGCCTGCAAATCACCCACCCAAACAAGCAGTGTAGGGAAGCTTCGGCAGACTACGTTGGATGCAGCGTGTGGGAGAAGTAGATAAACAAAAGCAAAACAAGCGAACAAATGCCATAGCGAAGGGGATGGCTACACACTGCATGCTGATTAGTAAAACTGATTATATTTTTAATCGTTGCCCAGCACAAATTTTTAATATACCTTCTTTCTAGTCATACGTAACTTAAGGGCGTTGAGACCTGTTGTCTGTGGCTCAGGGGGCTACAATAACAACAGCAATACAAGTAGGGCAGCAACACAGGCAGGGAGAAACTGTTGCCTTTTATACCTTGTCCTTGGTATACTACATTGGATGTTCAAAATATTCTCATATGGCTAAATAGAGTTAATAAATACTTGGTATGAAATGTGAAAATATGCATCATACAAAATGTTCTATGCAAATCCTGCTAATAAAGTGCAAAATATCGCTACCCATGTGCCAAGTGCTGTTATTAACGTGCAGAGTTATTTGTTACAAGTGCAATTACTACCAAACCCAGTTGTAGAATATTTACAAGGCCAAAGCCGTCAGTCACACAAAGGGGAACAGAGTGCCCTTCGTTACAAAGCATCTGAGCCAATTTCACACTACGGGCTCTTGACTGTTTGAATTAAATATGGACTGCTTCCCTTTTCCCTATTGTCCGTCTGCCAGATGCCTCTGTGTAACTAGTTTAGTTCTCTCCCCCCACTGCCATCAGTATTCCTCCGACATAACCTGCTCTACTGGGTCCCGACCTACACATTAGGGTAAAGAGTGAGCAGCATTGCTTATTCAGATTGGGCTCTTTGTTGGATGGCAATAGAGGGGGGCAAAAAGGAGAGAGGAAACCAAGAGATAGAGGAATGGAAGAGAAAAAGAGGAAAGTGGGAGTGACTGGAGACGGTAGACAGGGGTGAAGGTGAAAAGAGCCAAAGAAGGGCAGACCGAATCTGCCCTCTTCACTCTGAGAGTCCTCAATCCCATGATCCCCTGGGAGATGAGAGAGAGGGATGGAGAGATGGTACAGAGGGATGTAAAAGGAGGGGTCAGACCATTAGGCAAGCAGAGGTGAAAGGTCAGAGCACAGGGCAGTCCAGAAGCAGAGTAGATAAGAGGAGAGGAGAGGAGGAATCTGTCATGAGTCAAGACTTCTCACAGCTTGAGCTGGCTTACCAAATATTGATTTGCACATCCTCGTGTTATGTCTAACAGGACTTAAAAAGTCTTAATCTTAGATGTACAACAGCATGATTAGGAGATGTTTTCAGAAGAAATCCAGGGTAGAGCTGACTGCTTGGATGGCTGAAGTTATACTGAATTACACAACCCCCAATTCTAGCTTCTTTTTTTTATATCTAAATAGAGTGGTGTATTTTGTTTGATGGCTGCAATCATTGACTGTTATAAAATAAAGATGGATGACAAGACAAAACATTTTAATCACCCCAGGTGGCTGGCTGCAGTGTAGATCATAAATCTCGCCCCTTCCATGTTAGCAGATGGGATATGGGCCAAACTCAAAAATCACATCAAATACACGTCAAATATTCACAGATGTGTTCTGTCATTTTAGGTAGTTCTTATCACTCTGATGTATGTTCAAGTGTCCCTTTTTACTTATAACTTTGGTTCGAATTAATTATTTGATGCTATACGTCATGATTGACAGCTGAGCCCTGCTTTCAATTCAGTCGGCTGAATGTATGGGCGGTATGTAAATACAGCGGCTCCAACACAGTCATTACTGCGCAGATTCCAAATTACGTCACAAGCGTCCATATCCATTATATTTTGGCTACCTTTTTGTGCAGTGGGAGAAGTGGAGAAAGGGCTTGAAGATTAATCAAGAGTACTCAAAACAGAAATTCAG